GTAGCATGAATCATTGGCTGAAGTATCAAGCAATGGCCTATTTTAAGAGAATTGGCTTTAGTTGGTGTATTGTTACACTTTAAACAGCAATTTAAAAGAGTATTGGCTTTAAAAAGCAACTGCAAGAAAAGCAGTACACTAGATCAAAAGCAGAGAATTAAGGCCTCCATCGTCAAGTGTACAACCTTGGCTACTTTATTTTAGGATCAGAAGCCTTTAAGCCCAAGGTTTCCGTCCTTCATCCTAGGAGAACCAAACGGTTTATTCACTCGATTCCAAAACGCTACCTATTAGTTAGCCCTTGCTGTATTCGGAGAAATAACTCTGGTACGGACTCCGAATAGTACTAACCCGTACCCCAGGTACGTGACATAATATTTGGTGGCAGTTGTGGGATACAGCATGCTTTTAGCCGCTGGTTTAAAAATAAAATGATAAGTTTACTGAATTAGGTCAACAAATAAGTATGTTAGAAGAGGAATTAATTGGTAAAATGCAGACTTTATTTAACCAGCGAACAAGAGCAATTGCTCATTCTGCCCCAGATATCCCAGTTAAGGATTTAAGTGACTGGTATTATTCCTACGCGAATTGACGATATTAGGCAAAATACGCAGCGTGCCAGTTTGTGGGAAGATCGCAACATATCGCAACATAACACAGGAAGTGCTGCGTTTATATTGGCCATTTACCACCATAAGGACTGACGACAAAAGAGCGCGACCGACAGAACAGACACAACAGAGGACACCAGCCACAAAGGAAGAGGATGGAACAGAAAAATACCGATGCCAGTAGTTTCAAGAAGGAATGCCGAGCGCCTAAAAATCAATATACAAAGACAAATGAAAACAGAGGCGGGTCGACTCTACCATTGTATTCTAACAGTCGACATGTACGGATGGAAAGAAGAAATACTGAGCTGACTTCAAACATTGAAGCTGGAGCATATATTGACGTAGTAGTAAACGGCCACTCCTCAAGATTCCTAATAGATACAGGTGCCACAGTGACTTTATTGTATTGTTTTACAGAATCTAAATTAAAAGCAGAAACACAGATGACAATGTGAGCAAATGGTACCGAACTGAAGATTACTGGAAAAGGGGAATTTAGCTGAAAGTTATGCTAAGAAAAGTTTGAAGTAGAGGCAATTGTTACCGACCAATAGATTGAGGGAATATTAAGCCTCGACTTTATGAAAGAATATGATTGCCATATAGACTTACAGAGAGATACGCTAAGGTTCAGAAATAGCGCTTATCCGTTGCAGCCTGCTGGATAATAGGATGATATCGAATCTCAGCAGCCTAACACGACAGCATACCAACTAGGACTGAACCGCTAGCAAATGAGAAAATTATCGATTTCGATGCTTCGAAGGATAACATTCAGAGAGGAATAATCGAATCATATGAAAATTTTGTATAAAGTGACAACGCTATACTAGCAAAAACACTAGTTTAGGCACACGAGTACGTTACAATACGGCTACTCATTGGGACGAATTATGCTAAAGTAATCAAAGCCGGGACAGATGTTGAAAGTATAATTGAAGTCCCCGAAGAGACCGACAGCTTAGAAAAATACAAATCCGAGAACAAGGAGTTGCAAAAGCTTTTCGATGTAGCTGTGATATTGTCTAAGGAGTAAAAGCATCCAGTGACAAAGTTTATACAGGAGCATTAATTGCGTTTTGCACTATCAAACCAGGAAGAAGTTTGTATGAGTATTGTGCGCCTAAAACAAACACTGGCTCAACTCTCCCTGTCAAGCAGCCAACTCGCAGAGCACCAGAGATCTCTCATAGGTTTACGAGTTATTGGAGTGGTTCTTTCAAAGTGATTAGAAAGTGCTTGCATGTAAACTATTTTGTTAATTGTGGTAGGCGCGACCGAGCGCAGGTACCGGTCAGTCACGTCGCTAGCATTAAACATTGGAGAGAACAACTTTTGAAAGGTGAGAAATAATCAGATAGGGAGCGATTAGACAATAAAGTGTCAAAAAACACGCCAACCCCAAAAATAGACAATTTAAAGCCACCTGTATATGACTTAGGGAAAGGAAACAATATTTTTGAGTTAGTGAAAGTAATTTTCGTAAACCATGGTTGGAAGGAAAACCCCCTTCTTGGCCAAACGATTTTGTACATGAGTGGCCGTTGTTGAAATTTAATGTAGATAAACTGTAAATATACTGTAGATATAGATAATTCAGTTTGTAGTTTTGGAAATTAATTCCAATATAAATTAAAGTATTTTTAGTTTTTATTGTAACCTTATAATATCTATGTATGTCCGTCGGATGGGGACGTCAAATCCAAGATCCTGTTTAAAGAGAGAACCACTCTTTGTACACGCCAAATATTCCTCTCAATAAGCTCTTTTTGAGTGGTCTTTAAGTGGTCGGCAAAATTATTTCGAACCGTTTTCTTTTCTTTGTGATTTTTACTGTCGTTTTAAAAAGAAACATTTGGCTTTCATGGTAAAATAGTTGGTTTTTAAAAATCTGTCAGCATTTACAATTTGAATTACAGTAAAATATGTTAAGGGATGTATTGTTGATGCCCATGTAAAATGTTTTCTCCAATGGTAAGTCATTTATATATCGTTGATCAGGAATCTTGTCATGTAAGGTAGATCATGCATCTTCATGCATCTACTAGTTGTTCCAGTGGTAAGTTACTGAAAAAGAACCAGTGACTGTGGTTTTATGATGCTATTCAGAATTCTGGTTTTATGAACGACATGGCACAAGGCAGTACCCGGATAGAGTTTTGGACTGAAAAATGTCTATAATTTAAAGATGTTCTGGGAGGCGGGGGTAATGTGATGAATATTGTTTTAATACACTTACCTTGATCTTATTTACATGAGATTCCGGGGTTCGGAATTGATCTATATCCGGTATTAGTCAGGGCAGATTATAACATCTAAATTGGTGTTTTCCAATTACATTCAATGACGTTCAACATCCGATTAACATAATTTCTACAAACACAGCTTTATATACTAAATCTTGGACTTTCCAAAATAATAGACTTAACCGAAACACTGTATCACTAATTAAAAGTGTTTAACAGTATCAACAAATATACCCAGATACACACAAAGAAATAGAGGTGAGAATCTTTTTTATAATTCTGAAGAAGAATTAGGATACATCGTTCCTGAATCAAGATCGTTGTTTATAGAAGTATCGATAAAAGATTTAGCTCATAAAGACTTGGCTAAAGTGTCAAGCATTGACTTCAGATTGAAGCATTGGCCTATTTTAAGAGCATTGGCTTTAGTTGAGGCATTGGCACATTTTAAACAGCAATTTAATTGAGTATTGGCTTTTGACAGCAACTTTGAAGAGCATTGGCGTTAAACAGCAACTGTAAGAAAATCAGTACACTAGATCAAAAGCAGAGAAATAAGGCATTTTTCCAGGCATCCATCGTCAACTGTATGAACTTGGCTACTATATTTGAGGACCAGAAGCGATTTATCCCTTGGTGTCGGGCATTCATTTTAGAAGAACCAAACCACTTAGTTATTCGATTTCCTAACGCTACCAGTTAGTTAGCCCTTGCTGTTTCCGGAGAAAAAACTCTGGTACGAACTTGGAATATTTTTACCCCGTACCCCTGGTACGTTACACTATTTGTATGTATCCAAGATAAAAAAAACTAATAAGGCTAAAAATAAGTCAACATTTTCCATTTGTCGACATAATTTGTATTGGTATTCAAAGACAAAATAGTAGAGCCAGGAACCCCAATAAACGGCCCTATAAATACACGACCAAAGAGTCGATTTCAAATTTGCAATTAAAAACTTCCATTTTTTGAACGATGATATTCCTCTTGGCATATATCTTTCACAACCTTGCATTTTATAGAAAAAGGGGCGAAAGATACCAGAGGGACAGTCAAACTCATAGATCGAAAATAAACTGACAACGCCATGGCTAAAAAAAAAGACAAACATAAAAATAATAGTACACAAGACGCAACATAGAAAACTAAAGACTAAGCAACACGAACCCCACCAAAAACTGGGAGTTACAGGGTAACACACACTATAGATGATACAAATCAAATCTTTGGACATATGAAGGCGTGCGGATAGTATAAAACGTATTACAATGGTGTTTGTATCATTTTAAATGATTATTATTTCATTTGCCAATTGTTTTGTCTGTTCTGAATAATAATTGAATTGTGATTTTTCAATTCCGCCGCTCTTATTATCTTTTTATTTTAAATCACCAGGATGGATGACCAGATGAACTATTACTGTAAGGTCGTATGAAGCGAGTTTCTTGTAATTTTTATGTTCATGAAATTATTGAACCAATGCATGCATATATACTAAACAAAGGTTTTTACATTCATTACGAATCTATAACGTTTTATTGACAAATAATATATTTCATTTAGTGATTGTTGATTGCAAGTTTATCTTTGGAGTCTGTTTCCAAATTTTACCGGATCGTGACATTGATCTTGGAGCACGTGAAAAATTAGTGAATTGATAGAGCGATGTTAAATTTTTTTTATTTTCCATGCGTTCCCGTTTGTTAATTAAACTTTATCATAACAGTTGTGAAATTATTTGGTTTTATTTGATTTGTTCTTTAAGAGTCAATTATTACTATAATTTACCTCCCAGTGCACATTTGTTTACATTCTTTCATCGCGGTTTTTACCTAGCATTTGCTATGTGCGGTAACCGAAGTTCGAACAAGATGTCTTCTTGTTTAGGTCACTGCATACGGAAAAATATCGGAGAAGGAGAGTACAGAAAGATAAAAATTCAGTAGCAGTAAATTTGTTAAGATTTTGAAATTAAAGGATCTTTTACAAAAAAGTCTATATTTTACAATAGCACTTAGCAATTAAAGTATATAGAACATATTCAACTTTTTTTAAATTTGAACAAAAATTCTGTAAAAAACAAATTACAGTTGAAATTGTAAATAACTACATCACATCTAATTTCCATTACTTTCAGATTTATTGATGAAGACAACCACTACGGAAGCGATTATAGAAAATGTAGGAATCAAAAATAAACATGTCAATTATACGAGCCCTTTGGCAGTATGTTACAAAATGGTGGTTCGGGACAGAGGCAAGATGTAAGATTTTTGAAATTCACTTGATATGAGATTCCTTTATCAGACCAAGATTGAAGAACGCGATAACCCAGTCCCTCGGTACTGATATGAAAATATGGATTTTGTTTCTATGAATTTACACTGATAAAATAATTTTAAATTCTGGAATGTAAATTCTCATGTTGAGCTCTAATTACCTGACTATACCTTTGGTCCCTCTTTGTTCTTTACATATTACAACTTGGATTTAGATTCACCGCAGCGACACGATTTATCGAAATGTGCAGTTGTCAATAAAACTGATGTTTTACTATTAAACGTTATGATAGAAAGTAAAATAACAAAACTACTCACAGGAAAATTCAAAACGGAAAGTCCCTAATCAAGTGGCAAAATCAAAAACTCAAACACATCAAACGAATGGATAACAACTGTCATATTCCTGACTTAGTACAGGCATTTTCTAATGTAGAAAAAATGGTGGATTAAACCTGGTTTTGTAGCTAGCTAAGCCTCTCATTTGTATGACAGTCGCATAAAAATTCCATTATATTGACAACAATGTGTGAACAGAAATATAGTATTATAATTTTCTTAAACAGTTGTATTAAAATTAATCAATATATTATTCCCGGGCTTGCATTTCATGGCACAAAACAATTGATGGGGGTCGCTGCTCAACAGGAAGGTCCTGAATCAAACTCTAATGAATCAGTAAAGTATTATCCTCGAGTTGCTACTAACACCATCATGAGTTCGGACGCATGAAATTTATAACGTGTTGTTTTAATTTTTTTCTAGAATTCATTTTCCTAGGTTAAATTGGTCAGGACCTTCATAAATGATACGATATACAATAAGGAGATGTGGAATGATTGCCGATGAGACAACTATCCACCAGCGACCAAAAAGACGTAGATATTAGCAATTATAGATCCCCGTAAGGCCTTCACAAATGACCAAACCTTTACCGCATAGCTAGTTATAAAAGGCCTCCACATATTGAAATGTAAAACAATTCAAACGAGAAAACCAATGGTCTCATTGATGTAAAAAACAACAAACGAAAAAAAAAAAAACCCAAACAAATATGATATAACCTCTAAAGTACAGGCTCGTGACTTCGGACAAGCACAAACAAAATGTGATGCGACAGGTTGGACTGGAATTGTTTACCATACCAAAGCACATGATTTCATCCTAAAGTAAGTTGTGTATGAGTTTTTAAATCACCAGTTTTCGGTGTTGTGTTTTATAGACTAATTTTGGTCAAGAAAAAAGGTCTTCTTTCATTCAGCACCCTCCGACTTACAGATTTGATCATGCTGTGGTCTGGTTCTTATCTTCTTTTTATTTTCATTTTACTTAACTTTGTTGTCAAAAAGTTTATTACCAAATGGAAGTGGTAAGAAAGCAAATTGTTTTGTTCTTGTTTAAACAAAACATTTCGGTCAACTGATCAAATTCGCATAGTACTTTATATCAATTATAGTGTACTAGTGTACTAGTCTCTACAACATTACTTTGCATCGCTCTCTTTCAAAATGCAGAATTAACTCTTCAGATGTAGTTTGCATTGACCAATATCCAAAAGAAAAGGTTCTCATTGGAATTGGAGGAAGTACAAAAATAATAGCTTATGTGACAACGTCGTCTCCTGAATCATTTATAAAATGGCAGAAAATAGAAAGTAACAGGCCGATGAACATCCAAACAGACTCCATTAAGTATTCTGGAAGTTCCTGTTACCTTCCAACACCCGAACTTGTTATTAATGATGTTGATAAAACGGATTGTGGTGTTTATCAGTTATATGTTACTACAGTCACCGGAACTGTCACTGGTCCTAAAGTTGTACTGGAAGTGTTTGGTGGTAAGTTATATTTATAAATATGCATATATATAATACGTTTAAAATTTAGCGCAATCATGATAGATCTTCAAATTTGCGGTTACAAATTTTTGTTCTCCCTCAGCGGGATTCGAACCATTGCGTCTGTGATATCATGGCAACACCGCCCGTACAAATGTTCTATCAAACAATATAAAGTTGTTGGGTATGTCAAAAGTTCCACGAAACCTCTTTCAAGTTATCTAAATGAGGTTTGAGAAATGAGGGTTTCTGTGAAACTACGCAATCTGGGGAGGTGTGAATCGGACATTTAGTAATTATGTAAATCTGTTTGAGTTCATACGATTGAAGTACCTTTCTTTCTTTAGTATATATTTAGGGAACAGAAGTTATCGATGTTCAAATCTCAAAATACAATTAAGAAGATACAAATAAAGGTATGAAAAACAAACTGAGGAAATCGCATTAAATCAAAAGGATCCAGGCAGGGTTCGTCGACAGGTTAAGCGTCTTCTGCTATTTATGCACCACCCTTAATTGAGGGTTGCTGCTTGAAAGGGGTTCCAAGTGGTGACGTTGAAGTTATTCCTTCGAAAGTTGTTTAGGCGCCATTACGACTTGGTAGACCGTTGTGGAGAATCTAATTGTTGTAACCACAGTCATGTCCTCGTTTTCTCGATTGTGACATCATTGATGAGATTTATTACATTTTTGTACTTTCATCAACAACACGACGGATGCCACATGTGGAGAAATAATTTTATTACCATTCCAGAGTACATGAGGTCACCAACAGTATTTAGTAGGATTTGAAATGCTCAATTTTTAGTTCTTTATGCAGTGTTTCGTTGACTTGTTCGTCTTTTGCTGTTTTTTGTTTTTTGAGACTTTATTAGTTTTTATTTGGACTATTGAGATTTGATGTCAAAATCAAAGTGTTTTCTGTGTTTTTTTTATCCTTTGCTCTGAAGTAGCAATGGGACATGAACATGAAGTTATGTTTTAAGGTCTGAAGTCCAACGCTCTATATAAACACAGAATTTTTCGTAACGTACTTGTCGACAAGGGTTTCCTTAAAAATTCTTCTATTTTGTTCAATTTCATTTCTACAGTGAGAAAAAATAACTAAGAGACCATTTATATGAGTCTTCATTTATTAAGAAAGAGGATTTTTTCCCCATACATTCAACATTTGTTTTGGATCGTTGTGAATAAGTATTATTTATTTTCAAGCTGCACTGGGAGATTATTTATATTTGCCTAGTAAGCTATTTTCTTAATCCTACTTCCCCTTCCGCAGCATGCCAACCGAATGTTCGTCCCTTACATGCAAACACAGATCTGCATTTACTTTTTTTTTGTGACTTTGTTCCGATATATATCCATGAAAAAAATATTTGTATTACAATCCTCATGATAAATCTAGCAGTACCGAACTGATCAACGGTAAAACTTGATAATTTAATGTTATAAGTTAAAAAAAGAAGTGATATGATTGCTAATGAGACGAATGTACATCGGAGACTAAATAGCATTGATATTTTCAATATAGTCATTTCATCAGTAGCAAAGAGGCGAAAGATACTAAAGGGACATTCAAACTCATAAGTCGAAAGTAAATTGACAACGTCATGGCAAAAAAAAAAAAAAAAAAAAAAGACAAAGACAAAAAGACAGTAACTACTTTTATCTTTATTCAATTAAATGATTTAAATGTTCCATCGTTTAGCGTTACATATAACAGTTCATACGTTACGCTCGTGCATGTTCACACTTATCGGAGTTTATTTACAAGGGTATCCTTGTGTGATCCTTAAAGAAAAGCTGATCTTACAAAGTTATGAGGAAGAGCGACTGTAATTGACATTACATATTAGATTTATGGTCACTATCAATATTGCGAATGTGTGGACCGATACGATGTGTCAGTGTCTCAACTTTCTCAATATTTTGTTTTGTTTGAAATAATTATTACCTTACACTGAGCCATATTTATTACAGTCTGTGCAATATTTTTTTCAGATGCAGTTACATCATTGTCGAAAGAGAAAATCAACTTTCTTCGGTATTACCTCCTCTGTCAGACAAAAGCATCAAAATCAGTTCGATTGTATTTCAACAGAAAAGTCCCGGAGCATAAACTGGCAGCACACTTGAATAGTCACATGCACAATCTAAAATATAGTAATTGGAAATGTACCAATGTTCAATTAGCTGTCCTATTTCCAGGTATCTTATATTAAAATGTGACCGTCTGATTATTATGTTATGCCAAATCTCCTAACATTGATAAAATACACTATGTATAATTCCGAAAAAGGACGTCAAGTCAAATACATAAGGAGCCATACCGATAGTAAAGATATTTGACGCCTATTGCTCGTATTATGTTATATTAAGTAACAATTTCATTTGAGAACTTCATCCAAGGAGAACAGGAATTTCAATTTCAAAATTTTTCAATAAACGTTTTCAAGAAAAAAAACACCAGTGAATTATTGCATAATTTCTATTTGAAAATAATGTTTTAAGCATATTTCGTGGAAGGCAATCTTCATATCATGTGTACCTACCAAAATTATATATCTTGTGCAAGAAGAAAGTATTTCCTTATACAAATGAAGTTTGTCAACGGTATTGTAATCGTATGCTAAAATAGAAGCTGTTAACATACATCATCATTAGAAAATCTGAACCGTTTCCAGATAAATGACGTTTAGGCATAGGTGTGTTTGATAAGGAACTAACGCTATAATAAAATCATGCAAATCTTCATTCAACTACAATATACACATTTGGCTAATATTTCACTATTTTGATTTAATTTATATATGCAAGAATTAACATATTTCTTGTTAGGACTATAATGTACCTAATCGCCCCCTTCACCCCTAATGTCTTCTCAAAATAACACGTTAATACGTGTTTTACATGTAAAAACCTGCTATCTGTATATTAAGATTTTAACGGACGTTTAGAACAGATGTCACACGTTAATTTGTTTTACGTGCACTCGAAAGTTAACGCGTTTTTACATTGTTTTTGTTTATGTTTTATGTAGTTTCTCTGACAGTAAACTACATTTTCTTGTTCTTGCATGTTCAACTGACGCAATGTAAGAACAATTACACAGTAGAAATAATAATACAAAGTTTTAAGATTGGGGTACACTAGCTATAAACACTTAGACATTATCCCTATGATTATTGATTAACAAAATATTCATAATTTCAAGAAAACAGCTCAGACCGATGAGTTATTGTATAAAAATAAGGAGATTTGGTATGATTGCCAATGAGACAACTATCCAACAAAGTTCAAATAAAGTGGATGTAAGCAATTATAGCCAAATGAGAAAACCTATACCGTATAGCCGGCTATAAAAGGCCCCGACATGAAAAATATGAACATGTGTGTGTTAATATTTTTCTTTGTCGTAAATTTGGTCGATGTCATTGCATTTAAACGATTCATCCCCGATGACATCAACGGGCCTGTAGTCGGCACTTCTGTGATGACATATAATATCATCATTTCATTTTCCTGAAAGTTTACTGTATATAAATGTTAAAACATTGAGGTTTTCTACCCCAGGTATATATTGTCTTAGCCGTATTTGGTACACCTTTTAGGAATTTCGGTTTTTAATGCTCTCAAATTATTTGATTTCACTTTCCAACTGATTTGAATCGAGGGCCAGTGATGTGTTTTGTGTAGAGAAAAAGTGCGCCTAGCATTTCAAATTATAAGCCTGGTGTTATGATGTGTTTTTGAATCTATACAAATGTGATTTGTATTTCTTGGAATTGTTTTGAAGTATCATAAAATTCGCTTAAAGTCAATTTTTCCATTTTCATTACCGGTATCCTACATCAAATCTTAATAAGAATGGTAAAGTTAGGCCATGCTTTGTTTTGTAGATAAAAAACGATCTCAAACAATATCAGAGGATTTAACTTTTTCTATCGATGAAAACAAAGAGAAAACAATGTTTGGAATATATGTACAATGTATTATAAAATATTTAATAATATAACGAACCATACCGTATTGAAGAAGGCTCACAGTTACTCATAACAAGGTTAATTAGTTAACCTACTGATCAGAAATGATGCAATTCTACACTTAACATCAGTTGCCATACTTCATGAAATTTCATACGACAATGTCATACACAGTACTGGAAGACATTATCTTCTGCAATAGACAGAACAAGCCTGGCGATAAAGAAACACTAACGAAACTTTTAAGATTGCTTCAAGCTAGAAATTAGCGAATTGATTTTTATGCCCAGATGCATTGACTGAACATTTACAGTATGTAGTTTTGCCTTACATTGCGATACACAACAGTAAAAACATACATCTGCAATAAGACGGACAGAAGTACTCTTTCAAACACATGTATCGTAGCGATGCACTATCTCATACACAATGTAATAATTTCAGCTGTACCCAGTAATGTTAAGTTATCAAACTTTGATTTCACCTTGATGTACAAACTCATCAGGAACACAATTACTTCTCTATCAGCACCAACTCATGGCTGGGGTGCACGACCATCTCGTGTAGATATTACAGAGGAAGACGACATAGAACGGATCCGACATAGCAGAAACGTATTAGCTCACAACACAGAATTCAAGTTAAAAGACGCGGACTTCAACGATTTATGGACTGATTTATCTCAGGTAGGTGAATATATAGTTATACTTAAAACCAGTGGACATTAGTCATTAATAAATAGAATACATACCCGCTTACTGTCCGGCATATGCCCAGAATATATATATATGCGATTGTTCTTAATAAACACCGGGCTACGTCATAAAGGTACAAATATGTGCACTTGACTTATATGGGAAAAGAAATGAATCATCCTATGAGTTTTTCATTTAGTTCTTTTTCGGTCCAATTGCCTATTCCATTCTTAACTGCACAAATGCTCGTCTGATGGAAACACGGCTTACCAATACTATGCGATGAGCTCGATGCACAAAAGCTATAAGAAACCCCAT